AAGATGCTACCTAGAGTATGCACACCACCGAGCCCAGTGGTTTACTCACAGTGTGACAAAGTGAAGCGCTCGGGCTCCCTAATGCATTAGCAAACCCAGCCCTAAGTGCTTTGTGTTCATTAATACATGATGACACCTACCTACACTTATGGAATTTGCCTGGGAGCATTCCAAACACGAGCCATTACACTCCAGTGCCATCTTTATCTTTGTAACTGCTGTTATCCCCCTATGACCATAAGGGAATTCCTAGCGGAGGTGTGTAAAACCATGCCCCAAACACTTCACTGAGCAAGACCTGAATTTACTGATGTGCATCAGATTCCCTTCGAGATGGATAAATAGGTAGAAGGGGGCATAAAGTCATGATCATTATGAACAGCAACGTTACTGATCCAGCCGTCCCAAATTCCAACTCATTCCTTCTTGGCTAAATGCTGTAACCACACAATTTAAACCAGAAATAGAGAAAATGTATTACTTTTCTCCTGGATCAACACTGTACAGTATAAAGTGAGGAAATGCCACCAGAAACAACCCCTTCTGTAGCATCGCCACTGAAAATTACATGATTGCTATAAATGAATATTTACTGCCAAAAAGATGGGATCCATTCTGGTTTAATTGAACTCATTTAATGACAGAACCCAAATGGAAGCCAATGTGCTTCCAATTCAGTGATTGTCCCAGTTTTCCGAGATTCTCAGGGACAAGCTTTGTGCTGGGAGTTAGCCTGGGAAGCAGAACAACTCTTGAACCAAGAGGGAGAGAAAGAACCATGCAGGACAACAGAACACCTTGCCAAAAGCCTAACAAGGGGAAAAAACCCACTTCATTTCTGCAGCAAGAACAAGGAAAACAAGTGATGGGACTTGAAAGTGGAATATAGGTTACTGGTGCAATGCCAGACCAGAACTGCACGGAACAGTTTCAAGGGAATGTTTTCCATGGCATTTAGGAAATGCAGAGATTTAGAGCCAGAAGCCAACTGCTGGAGCATCTCAGTGAAGAAAAGATCTAAAATCCATCTCCACTGAATTGCCTGAACTGGATGAGTGCTAAGGTCCCTTGCATTGGGCGAAGTGCCACAAGGAAGAACAAGAAACGACCCCTGCACTAAGGAGAGTGAAATCTCTCTTTAAACCTTTGCAATTCACTCATTTCCACATGCTTTTATAAACTGCATTTAAAAATAGTCTTCTCCTCACTCATGTCCCAGATTTAACAGTGATGTATTGAGGTCTCATTAAACCACCTTTATTACCTTCTGGAGCCATGGCACCTTCCCTTATCTAGTATCAGTTGCTGATCTCAGAACTCATCTGACCTGATACAGGAAGAAAGATTACTCCAGGGCCTTCCTAGGATATCATATAACCCCTGTGCCTTTACAAAACCCTTGCAGATTTGTATTCTTCCACAGAAAACTCCACCAGCATAAGCCATAAAGGATGATGGGCAGCAAGTGCCACCTGCCTGCCTTCTTGTTCACTTCTGCACTGGCCAAATTCAAGGATTCATCACGGTTTCCTATTGGTAATGTAGAGGTTCCTCATCACACCTCTGCTGGCAGCCTGGCTATAAACCACTAACACTTTGGGCAGCATGGCTGTCACCTCCATATCCTCAATCTAGATCCCAAAAGCGAGTGTTTAGAAGGGTGGGAAGTTTACTGAGCTCATACCGAGGTGCTGAGATGGTCAATAACAGAAGGTAAATGTAGTATTAAGTATCAATTTAGAGAAAATCCATATCCTGCAATATCCCTTGCCTCAAATATGGCTTTTCACCCCTAGAACTCATAAGTCTCCTCCAAAAAGTCAATATCATCAACTGCATTTTCCAAACTGGAGCAGAGAGAGAAAAAGACCTGTGCAAAGGTTACCCTGAGGCACAGAGGGACCAGGAGCTTCTAATATCCCCAACCTCCATAAATACACAACAGGAGTTGGGAAGGGAATATAAAACACAGGAGTCCTTGAGGACTATGCAGGCAGCTGGCTTCTTATCCAGCTGCTGTCACATCTGCCAATGTAGTATTGCATCTTGTCCAGCTTGGTTCCCAAAATCCACTTAACAGCTTGGAGCAAGCTGCTCTAGTGGAAGGTGGATGAGCTTTAAGGAACTGGATGAGCTTTAAGGTCCCTTCCAATCCAAACTATTCCATGATTGTATGATAAAAGTAGTAGCACACCACTACTGAAGGACTGAAGCTACGCAGGTGCCCAGAATAAACTGGCAAGCACAGAAACATTAGAAATAGAGGTTCTGCCCTACTTTACATTTACAGTAGAGGAGGACATTCAACCTCCATCCATTTCAAAGCCCTTTAGTTTATTTCTAGTTAAGAAAAAGCTCTGGAAACAAAGCACTTTTATACATTAATAATAAGCACTTCAAAATGGATTGGAGACAAAAAGGTAGGAGGGAGAGAGGGGAACCAGAGTTCATCTAACTGTGACTGCTTAAATGGCCCTTCCCCAAAGTACAAAACCATAGAATCCCAGCATGGTTTGGGTTGGAAAGGACCTTAAGCTCATCCAGTTCCAACGCCCTGCCATGGGCATGGACACCTTCCACTAAAGCAGCTTGCTCCAAGCCCCATCCAACCTGGCCTTGAACACTGCCAGGGATGGAGCATTTACCACTTCCCTGGGCACCCTGTGCCATGCATGAAGGCAAAGTTCAAGGGACAAACATGGGTCTGTTGAGTATTTTGAGCTCTCCCTAGTGTTCCTACTCCCAGTATTTGCTCACACTGTGGAATTCAGCTCAATAACAAAGCCCTGTCCCTAGCTGGCTCTCCACTGCCTGCCACTGGTTTGTAAATACTGACATTTTGTAGATCCTGCCTTCTGACAGGCCATAAGGCAGGGATTGAGAGAGGAAAGGTGATTCTCTCAGCACAGTAAACAGGGTTTTGTACCCATCTACAATGCATTCGGAGGAGCAGGAGGTCAAATCAACACCATAAGCACAAATCCAAGCCATCAGAAACACAGGGTCGGTGCATGGAGCCCTGCGCTTCCATCATTCCAAATCCCTGGGCAGCAGATCTGAGATGGGAATTTTCTTGTTTCTTGTCCTCTAAATCTCCCTTTTACAGCCACCTGCACTGTTCAATCTTTACACTGCTGGCACAGAGCTGTTTAAGAAGTGATGTGATAGTGGAGTGAGAGCAACTTTACGCATACATGTAGGAGCTGAACACTGAACAATGTAAAGCCAACCTGGACTTCCCTTTTGGTTTACAAAAAGAGCAGTTTCCAGTGGCATAAAACACAAACGTGGTGTACAACACACTCGTTTCCCCACCTCTTCTAAGCACATAATAATGTGCAGAATGTGTCTACTTGTAACATGTAATTTATACCCCAAACACCAGAACAAGAAGTGAGCTCTGCAGGAAGCGATAGTGAGAACCTTCATCCTCCAAGGATGTTTTCTTGCATCATTAGCTAAAACCAAGGCATCTTTTTTCCCCTAAAGATTAACATTTAAGGAAAAAGAACAGCCTGAGCCATGAGCCCGACAGCCTGGATGAGAACAAAGGAAGCACCAAGCCACAAGGGGTGAACCTTCCCTATAAATCAACAGTGGAACAGAACAGTAACAAATGAGGTATGCCAGCTACCTTGTGTTACAGGGGGAGACACTGCATTAGGGACTCCCAACCCTGAGACACACCATGAGGTTACAGCCAGCACAGAGCAGTGTCACACAGTGACTGACACCAGCCTGGCTCCAGGGGGATAAGGAACACCATGCGTTGAGGCTGGGGAAGGCTGATGCGAACAGACAGTGATCTCAGACACTGAGCACCAGTGTGAGCTGCTGGCCAGGGAGGAAGAGGAGAAAAGAGCTGCAGATGGGAAAAAACACAGTCCCAGCTGCAGAAAGTCAACATTAACATTGGGTGTTGAGGGGCTGAGTGGAGTGACCAGCACAGAAAACAGCCACAGACAAAACCACTGGTGAATCCTATGGTTTGGGTTGATTTTTTGCCTTGAACATAAAGTTTGGACCAAAATGTGATCATCGTATTATATGGGGTTTGATGATGCTTTTTGGAGAGTAAAACAGACTACTTACCTTTGTTCCCCTGTTTAAAATCAACATAAACAGGGAGTTTATTACCTGTGCACTTTCTGAGCACTGTATAACCAATAGCTAACCCAAAACCAGGTGGCCAAGCTCTGTCACAGAAGGCAATTTCCTCTCCAATTCAGGATGCTAAGGAGGTACTATAAGACCAACTGAATACACCAGACAAGTTCCAACCTCCGGGCACTCCTGAACTGCAACAAAGCAGGTCAAGCTTCTGTGAGGTAAGGTAACCCCCCAAAACCACCTCATCACGTTGCAATGTGTGGCTGGGTAATACATAACATCTGACCTTCCAATCCCAGCAACTGCCAGAGGGGGTTGGAAAAGTGGAACTGCAGGTACTTTACTCCCTCATTTAGAAAGAAAACACAGATATTCTATAATCCTATGATTCTATATGAAGGTAATCCAGTTGTCTGTGGCCCACTGCCATTTGCAGTGCCTTCTGTCAGCACGAGAACAGCACCTTTGTGGGTCTGTTTCTGCTCCCTCTGATGGTACATTAGCTTTCAGGCTGAGGTTTTATTTCTGTAGACTAAAGCAGCCTTTTGCTAAAACCTAATTCTTCCACAATGCTGCATGCTTCAAAGAGCATGTTTGTACATGCTTCGTGCTCATGAGCCTTGCTGAAAAAGAGGTTAGTGCAGACAAAATCCTTGTGACATTATGGACCTTTAATTGGTTACCAGACCTGCTTTGGGGCACGTATTAATAGGGCAGAAGCATTATGCATGTTCCTTCTCCCTCCTTGACAAACTGCCAGAGGAAGGGAAGTATTTTGGTCTTGAAAGTAGTGTGTATTTAGAAATCTGAAACTCAGGGCATGTAAATGAGTGTGCAACTGGAAGAGCACTGAAAATAACACAGACAGAAAACAGCACACAGCATCTCACCATAGCGCTGAGAGTCTCCTCCCAGTCTGGCCTCTCTCTGGGATGGATGCTCCTCTGAAGCTCTGGCACAAAGTCATCTTCTTCTGAGTGTACAGAGGACTTCATCATTCTGGAAAGGAGGACAGGGAGGTTAGATATAGGTGACAAGGTTTAGGTAATCTTACTAGTGCTAGTGCTTGGGTTTTGGTTTATATGACAATACAAATGCTTTTATAAACCCATACAGAGTTTCTCTTCATTTCTCATTATCCAAGCAGGATAAAGTGTCAGTCTGGTGGAGAGAAAGCTGCACTCCCTAACCAACCCCAATGGGTCATTCTGTTTAATCACTGCACAGGCTGCAAGCCTTGAAACACAGACACGTGCAGAGCAGTAATTTCCAGGCCATTCAAACCCAATTGCTTCTGTTGCCCAGGCAAGCAACACGAGAAGAAACACACAGTTGAGTCCTTAGTTGTCCGTTCATGTTTTGCTTAAATGGAGAGAGCAGCTTCCACAGATTCATAGAATGGTTTGGGTTGGAAAGGACCTTAAGATCATCCAGTTCCAGCCTCAGAAAAGCCCTGCATGACCATAGCATGAGTTAGAAGGTAGAGATGCGATGCCAGCTCCAATGGGCACCTTTGACATGTATGTGGCCAAAAGAATGTGATTTTGTGAACCTGAAAACTTCAGAGCAGTGGCTCCTTCGTTCCTCCTTCCTTGAGTACCAAGAGTGAGAAGATGTGGCCTCTTTCTCCACCACGTGAGGAGTTTGCCACTTATTTCACTGCTCTTACAAGCGCAAACCGGGTTGTGCCACTCCAAAACAAGAGAGAAACTGAAGACAAAGGGGGGAAAAAGTCCATAGCTCTTTAAATGGTTTTGAACAAGGCCCAGTGAGGCTTTCCTCAGCATTTCAGTGTTGGGGCTTGGTTTACTACAGCTGTAGACATAGATTCTGACCAAACCATCCCTCTGCAGCTCAGTCTAATGCTGTGGGACAGCATTCAGTCTAATTCCAGTGGGTGCTGGATGGGTAACATGGGCAACATCCAGCTTCCAACCCCTTGTTTAAGATGAGCAGCTCATCCCAATGAACACTTTCTCATTATATGAAAGTCCATGAGACTGAATTTACACCTTTATCAGCACTCTGGATTACAAACTCATTTACTACACAACTCCTCAGGCTTAGGGCAATTCCTCCTGGATTCCTTAGCAGAGATGTGGTTTCTTTTCAAGTAAGCCTTCTGAATGGTTGTATTACACACACTCTATCCTTAGCCTGGTTACAGGGACCATTACTCAGCTCCTCCTGGATGATGCTTCAAACCCCATGGTGGTATGAGCACAGAGGATAACGTGTTCTGTTGCAACATCACCTAGGGTTCTCAGGTCTGCCCTCACAGTGGACAAACACAGGTATCAGCAGACCTTTTAACAGACTCCCATCTATTTGCTCACATTTAATCTGATTATGTCTATAGAACTCCATGAGAAACTCCAACTCTCTGTGTGTCCAATTGCATATTGCAGTCAATTCTTAGGGCATTTCCCAGACTTACTTAGCACAATGTTCTACTACTGATGAAAATTAAACCCCCAGTCACAGGACCATAAAAAAGGTGGAATCCTGAAGATTTTCTAACACAATTAAAACCACTTGATAACCACCTCTGAACCCTTACTTATCTTTAATTGTAACTACATCATTCCATGCCATCTGAGACAAGAGACGGAGGAAGGCTCAAGATGATACAGGTTATATTAGTCCCTTATATACTAAGTCCAGTGGCTTTTTCCTCCCTATCCATGATGGAAAATGAACGCTGTGGATTGGCAGCAGTGAAATATGGGTCTGAGTAGGGTCCGAAAGGTGGAAGCTGCTCAAGATGCTCCCATTCTTCACACTGCTCCAACAGCCTTTACTTCAAGGATGACATAGACAAGGAAGCCAAACCTCAGGGTCTGCCATCCATCAGCAACAACACTTCTAAGCATTATTTCTCCATCCATCCCTCATCTTGTTTCTGCCATGGATTCTTTTCCACGAGAGGGGAGAAGATCCAGGGTCCCACTGGCACTTACAAACACAGACACCCATATTTTGTGCACATTAAAGACCCTGTTGCAGGGAGCAGGTATTTGTTTGTTCCATGGGAGTTGTAAATGATTGAAAATCCACTGGGAAATTTAACAGGAGCCATAAGAATAGAACCCCAGTTTCATTTAAAATGCCACTTCTTCAAGTGCTGAGCAGCTCTGAATGCCCTTCAAATGCAGGCTGACACCATTACATTAATAAAGGTTCTGACTGCATAGAGGCCATTAAGCAATCCCTGTTCAGCTGAATGAATCCTTCTTCATTGTAAATTGAGAAGCAAATGTACTGGAACAAATGTTTGCAGGACATTTCACACAAGGCCCAGCCCACATTCACACCCATTCTTTAAAGTTCTCTGGCAGGTCAAGATGACGAATTTCAACTCAGGGATGTACATTTGTCCATGAGCAAACTGTATCAAGAAGCATCTTTTTCCACGTGCTCAATTGGCTGGTCCCAAAAGTGGGTTTGTGGGAAGAGCTCCTTAAATCAAACAAGGAGGAGAATTATGGAATCACAGAGTGTTTTGGGTTGGAAAGGACCTTAAAGCTCATCCAGCTCCAACCCCTGCCACAGGCAGGGACCCCTTCCACTGGAGCAGCTTGCTCCAAGCCCCTGTGTCCAACCTGGCCTTGAACACTGCCAGGGATGGGGCAGCCATAGCTTCTCTGGGCACCCTGTGCCAGCGCCTCAGCACCCTCACAGGGAAGAACTTCCTTATCTCCATCCTGAACTTCCCCTCTTTCAGTTTGAACCCATCACCCTTGTCCTATCGCTACAGTCCCTGATGCAGAGCCCTTCTCCAGCATCCTTGTAGGAGAAAGCACAGGAGATCTTAAACCACTGTGAGATCCCTCCAAGAACCCTTGTTCTCCTCCTTGAGGCTCTTTGGCACATCCTGCATCCCACAGCAAACCACAAACCACAACTGCCATGGGCTTTGCTGGCACCTCAATGCTGGTGATACAGGGATGAACTGCTCTCCTTTGGAAGGACACGAGCCTGCTGACAAGTGCCTTGCAGAGATGGCTTCAAAGCATGAGGCATTTTGAATGCCAGGCTCCTCATAGCAGAGGGGGAACTGTCTGCTTGACAGAGCCTCCTTGGGGCCTGGCTATATAAGCTTTAAAAGAAATGCCAAGCCTGATCTTGAGGTTGTGCTCCCCCATGGGGACATGAGGCATTTCAGCCTTCCTTGCTGCTTCTCCCACAAATGGCTCTTGTTTCCGACCTCAATATGAGAGGTGGGAGATGATGAGAGCTGATTTAGTAGTGTATTTATTATCTAACACTGGTGATTTCTCAGCCAATGTAAAAGCTTTGCCCTCCAGAACCAACGATACAAGAGGATTCAGAGCACCACAGAAAGGGATGGTTTCTGCGCTATAAATGTTACCCAAAAAGCCACACTGTGCTGACACAAACTTATCCTGAAAGCCAAGGAGCTCCAAACAGCAGCTGATGTAAACTGGTGTTTATGCACTCAAGTAATGTGCACAAAAAGCCAAAATACTGCACTAAAAAGAACTATGGCTTGAGCTTTGCACTGCTTGCAAATATCAAGTGCAGGGACCTCTGCATCTACTTGGCTCACCTCCCTTGCTCCTAGCAACCATGTTTGTCTTCAATAAGCACTCTTCAGTTTGCCAGGCAGTGCTTAAGGAAGAGGAGAACAGCAGAGACAGGTTACTTTCGGCTTCAGGGTGTCACTATGGGTGAGCCACAGCACATACCAACACTTCAAGGCCCTTCGGTGTAACAGCATCCCTGTCTCTTCCATGGAATCAAGTAGTCTTGACAGGATTCAATCCCAAAGGTCTCAATCGCTGCATGGACAGGTAAAAGCCAACAGTGAATCGACAGAGAGGTACCTTGAAAGCTCAGCTTTAGTGGGGTTAAAAACCATCAAATCAGAATGGTTTCAAGTAAACCCTGTGCCCAGGAAATTAAAACTAATGCAGTGGAAAGGAAAAAAAGAGTTGTGCAATATGGGAAGCAGAGATAGCTCAGGAGCCCCAGGAAAAACGAAACAAAAGATGGGAATTGAAGGCTGACAGTGCTGACCTGAAAGAGGGTTTCATTTCCCATGCTTTAAATCAGCTTTGTCAACACCTTCCTGATTCCACTATGTCCATCTGTACTATATAAAGGTTTCTGTCTCAAGGATCATACAACGTGAAGACAGAAGAGACCAACAAGGTCAGCTTAAAGCCTCCATCATAAATAAACAAATGGGAAATGGATTGTACTTCATCCTCGACCACAACACAAAGACCTGGCATAACTAAATGGTTTACTGTGATTGATTCAACCAAGCTGAAAGCTCCAATTGCTGCTTCCGATGGAAGCTCAGGGTCGGGCAGCCAAAATGCAATTGTTTGGGAAGCCACTAAATGAGAATAATTAAGAGAGTAACAGTATATCCCAAGCAGATATACCCATCATCCAGCGCCATGGGCAGGGATGCCTCCCACTAGAGCAGCTTGCTCCAAGCCCCTGTGTCCAACCTGGCCTTGAGCACTGCCAGGGATGGGGCAGCCACAGCTTCTCTGGGCACCCTGCACCTCAGCACCCTCACAGGGAAGAAGGTGTAAAGTACCATCAAGGTGTCAAAGATGCACCCACTGAAGAGATGCTTTGCACATCCATCAAGGGGTAAGGAGGGAGGCAACAAATAGCAACTAATAGACCCACTTCCCTTTGTTCTGCTCCTCTGCCATAGTGCTGACAGCTTCTTTTACTACTTCCTATCTCACCTGATGGTGTCTCAAGTCAGTTACACCATCTCCCTAAGTAAAATAGAGGGATGTGGACTTCATGTTCTGGAAGGAATGGAACATGTACCTCCAGAGCTTTGTTAAACTGGGCTGCAACAATCCGCATCCAAGTTTTGCATAACTGGAATTCCTTTAAACTCTTTATGAAAAGAGTAAGTTTGTGGAATATTCAGCTTTGACAAGCTCTGAGACATGTTCTCAGCTATTAAAAAGCTTTATAATCACAGAATCCTCATGCATATATTA